TTACTTGTTTAAAGCAACAAAGTACTGTATTTGTACTTTGTTATTGGACACCTCTGCTGAGTCATAAGTGTGGAAGAATCCGATTCGTCGGTCTAAAACGGACCAGCTGGAGTACCCAGAGAGAATCCTCGAAGGACGGAAACCATCCAGACTCCAAATAGAGAGGCTGAGATTTAACTCTATGCTATGGAGTGCTGTCCTGATCTAAACCACAGCAATCAGTAATAATTTGTAAATGTGGATAATGAGAAAAATAGATGCATTTTTTATGATATATCAGACTTTACCGTCCCAACCTGTTAGTCTGCACTCATTATTTTACCAGCTGCATAGAGCCTAAGAACCAAAAGAGGAAGGAGAGATTCTCACAACACCAGTCTGCACATGTCTAAAGTTTAGTGAACGAAAAACATTGGAGTTTAACAAGCAGCCTCTCTGTGCCAGCATACATATTTGTTGTGTCCAAGCTCAGAGCCGCTGTCTCTGGATTTCCTTTCACTGTTTTGAAAATCACCACTTTGCCCCTGCAGTGACTCAAGCCTTCTAAGCTCTGGGATTTAGCTGCAGTCTGCTTTGCTGGATGACTCATTCCTTCTCAGTGGCTAACATTGTTAGATGCTGAGGCATCAGTGACCTAAAGATGTTAGCGGGCATCCTTGCAGAAGGCAGCCTACTGGAGACGGCACAGATGTGAAGGGAGCCGTTTTGTAAAGCAGTCCAAGCTGTCGGCTTTGTGAGAAAGACGAGACGGACGAGAAACTCTGGAAAGAAAAGCGAATGCTCTTCAATATCAGCTGAGGAGAGGAGACTGTGAACCTGAGCTGACATGAGGGCTCCATCGTCTACCTTCCTGTTCAGACAGTGCTGAGCAAAGGTTTGGACACCACTAACCAAAACATCTTCCACCGTAAATATCTATGCCAGCACAGGATGGACTAAGCTTAATAAAAGTGGCAAACTGAAAGAAACGCAGTTAAAAAAATAAATTCAGTAACAACAGTTTAAAACTCTACATAATGGAAGAAAATTATTTAGTGAGTTTTTACAAATTTTTTTACTGATTGTTTGAAATATTAATGATCCATTGTGTTTTTCCATTGTGAGATTTAGGCTCCTTAATGCAGCGGCTGGAATGCTGGAGGGAAAAATCAACCATCAGAACAGATTTCTACCTAACTTTAACTGCAGGATCATTTCACAGTGATGGTGGCTGTCTTCCTGGCCTGGCATCCTCAATGCAAAGGTATACTGAAATGAGAAACGCATAATGGGAGCTGGATGGGGGGCCTGGGGCTCCCAGGGCCCCCCTTAGCCTATCATTGGCCCACCCTGTGACCACGCCTACCAGGTGATCCAATGTGGACAAAATGCAGAAACTTCCCCTAAGAATTACCTAAGAATAAATTTAGTTCTTCATACCTAAACAATAAACTGATCCAGTAGCTAATTATTCACAGCAATATACTAACATTTAAGAGACATTATGTATATTTCTACCGAAAATTTTACAGCTGCCTTTTTATTTGACCTTTACAACTAAAACGTGGTTTGATGAGCAGACTGACTCCTCAGTAGTTTAGCATCTATAATCCTCTAGCATATTTTCCTGAATTTAACTCAGACCGTTTGAATGTTAACTAGGTTGGAACCACGTTGGTTAACATTCAAACTGTTATACTTTAGTGATACTCCCAGGTAAACTCAGACACCCATGGCAGCTCCAAGTAAGGTGATGAAGGTAATAAAAAAAACACCTTGCCACTCAGAACGAGCAGAAGAGAGCTGTAGTTCTGTGTTTTGGCCACAGGTGGCAGTATCATTAGAAAGCTCCATAATGACTCTTTAAAGATGCTAAAAACAGAATTCATGTTGTTTTCAGGTCTTTATTTTTTGGGGGTTAAGGGAAAGTTTTATGTCTCTGTTGTCGGAAAATTTTATCTCTCTTCTATTATATATTAATTTATCATATTTACTCACTATAAAAGTTTTCACTCAGTCTGTTTCTCTCTCAAGGCCTCACATTTCTCTGCTGGATGGTTATTTGTAGGCCAGACATAGCTTCTTCCCATAACAAACTAGATTCTTTCTCCAGGTTTATTCATAACATGTTACTGATTAACCAAAGTGTTTGTAATTTGTTTTGACTCTGACTACTTTCCATTGTTCTAAGTAGGGGGGGACGAACGCTGCTCAGATCAGAACAGAGCAGAATGCTGAGCCATTAGGACTGTATGATGAACTGTTCTCTCTTTGCAAAGATATGAATAAATGTGCCGACTGAGTGAAATCCATCCATCTCTGTTTATTTAACTTGGATGAATAGTTGAATACTTTTTTCCCATGACAGTCTCTGAGAGTCATTAAAGAGTCTCCAGTGATAAATAATCCAATCCAACTAAATCCGTTTAATGTAGGTATTAATATATGTAAAGTAAATAATATTCTGAACAATTACTGATAAAAGTTTAGTTGACTTTTTTTCTGGAATTGCAGGTAAGAAATGGCAGAGATATTAGATGTTCCCCAAAACTCCAAGCTGAAGAATATTGTCGACTTTATCTTTAGACAGCAAGGATGTCTATATATATACATTTATTTGTAAAGGCCTTTAGGAGAATCTACTTTGTCTTTATTTGTCTGGACCCAAACTTTGGAGGAAAGGAGAATTAATTTGGGTTCCTGCAGCCATGAACTCGACCTAAAACAAAATAAGGATTATTCTGCAGGAGATACTAACACATTTATCACAAATATCACAACCGTTTTTACTGATGTGAGATATAACTGATTCCCATCCCAAAGCAGAGTGTGACCAAGCTGATGATGAGCACCATGGAGAGGAGCTGCTGTTGCTCTGGTTGCTTCTTCTACTCACAGCTTCTTGAATGAATAAACACTGAACTGCTGATGCATCTTTTTATATAGCTCTACAATACCAGATATTGTATTGTAGAGCTATATATTGTAGAGCATTCTGTCAGGAACTGATAGGAATTTAAAATGTGTTACAAAGATAAACCCTAAAACAAGCTCAGGCCTGATTCCTCATAATTTGGACCAGAAAATAACCAAAGGAGATTTACATTTAATTCTGGAATGTCTCTCCGCTACTAAAACCAACAGAAACAATGAAAACATGTAAACTCTATGCAGAAAGATCTATCTGCTTATACAGCAGAGCCTAAAGTATTCAGTCAGCCACTGATTGTGAAAATTCTCCTACTTAGATAAGAGACAGCAGTAATTTTCATCATGGGTCCAGGAATTCACATTGTGTTTTATTTTGTTATTATTATTTTTATTTGTAAATTATGGTGGAAAATTGGTATTTGGTCAATAATAAAGATCAAATCAACTCTTTTTAATATAATCTTTGTTGGCAAAGACAGAGTTCACACTTTTCCTGTCAGTCTCCAGCAGGTTTGCGCACACTGCCGCTGGTATTTTGGCCCATTCCTCCATCACTAACAAAAAATGTCTTTTTTTTTCAAATCAGTGCATTTTTTCTGTAATTGGGGGTGGTGGTGGGGGGGGGGTCTAAGTGAGACACTTTGCCAATGGAACAAGACAATTAACATTTACAGTAAAATAAGAAAAAAATAATTTCATTGTCTTATTGTAAGTGCATATTATCTAATTATCTTATTTTAAGAGTCATAAAAGTAATTCCATTGGCAGATCATCTTATTTACTCAAATTAATGGTAAAATCACTTAATCTAACACATTTCTGTCTATATTTAGTTCATTTTTTTAGTGATGCAAGTCTCCTCTTGAGCAGTGACTGTTGCTGGGCAACACGGACTTTCAACTGCCTCCACAAGTATTCTGTTATTGTGGTCTGCAGACTGACTAGGCCACTCCTAGTGGAAAAACAGCCCCAAAGCATCATGCATCCACCCCCATGCTTCAGAGTAGGTATGGTATTCTTGGGATGCAGCTCAGCATTATTCTTCATTCAAGCAAGAGATGAATTTTTGCCAAAGTTTCTAATTTTGGTTTCATGTGAGCAGATCATCTTCTCCCAGTCCTCTTGTGGATCGTCCAGATACTCCTTAGCGCCCATCAGACGGACCTGGACGTGTTCTGGTTTAGGCAGAGGAAAGGCCTGACACAGCAGGACATGGGAAGAGCTTTTTATAGAAGCCTAAGAACTGTGAGGGCCAGACATCTTACTTGTTTGTGGACCAAAATCATATTTTTCACCATATTTTACAAAGCAAGTCTTTAAAATGTGATTATTAAATTTTTTTCTTTGTTATTTCATGTCTTATAGCTGAAGTGCCCCTATTTTGAAAAGGACAGACCTTTGTCGTCTTTCTAAGCAGCAGAACGTCAGCAGCCAGCAGCTGACTAAATAGGAGAGGCTCATTCTGTAGCATAGTTTAATAGAAATACAAAGTTTAGATAAAAAGGGTCCTTTGAAGCACTGCTCCAGCTCAGAATATGAACATGAATAGTCAGCTGATCAGTTAAATCAAACCACTTTAAACACCAACGTTAGTATTATGTAAAATAAAGTTTACTGCAGGGAAGCATCAAAATCTGGAAACCTTAGTTTGTAAATGGTTAAAGTTAGATAATCACGTTACTGGATCGGTCACTGGTGTTGCTGGTAGATGGTGCCACGTCTATTAATTATCTCAGCTTATCTCACCCGGTGCTGGAGTTCTATTTAGGCTCAAAACAGATTATCAAAGATCTATCAGAAACGGACGTCTGGAGAATTAAGCCTTTCTATCATTCTATCATTATCGACTGTTTGTTTTTATATATATGTTTGTAATGTGACAATATACCTTTAAATTAATATAACTGCAAATAAAAACACAAAGTCAAAGAAAGAAAGAAAGAAAGAAAGAAAGAAAGAAAGAAAGAAAGAAAGAAAGAAAGAAAGAAAGAAAGAAAGAAAGAAAGAAAGAAAGAATTCAAAATGAATTAAGGAAAAAGTTTGCGTCGTTCTTGGTGTGATTCAGGAAGATAATGTTCTTCTATTTTTATTTAGCTAACATCCAAACTGAGCTGCACTTTGGTTTTCTCCCCTTTCAGACTCGTCATCAGCTTCAGCCTCGGGAACAAACTTGGTTCATACTTAATTAAGAAGGCAAGTGATTCATGTGCTGCACATTAAATATTAACTGCTCATAACCTTTTCACATGGCCTCACCTCAGAAGTCCTGAAATGTGCTTTTAGAAGGAGTGCGTACTTTTTGAAATATTTCTTCAGAAAGCCTCATTTGGCCGTGCCAGCGTGACGGAGCTGTGAACCCCACCGCTGTTTGCACAGGAAGAAAGCGGAGAAGTTTTAAGCAGCTGAGGTAAAACCTTTTGCCTTTGATCATCCTATTTTACTCGCCGACACTTCGACTGATTCAACTAATGATAAAAACTACAGAAAATGTGCATTGTGGGAATTGACCAAACCCAATCCTCGCCATGCCTTTCAGCCTCGTACCGTGATTTCTGTAGACTCCCACCCAGTGTCATATATCCGGCTTTTATCTTGAATTAAACATCTATAGGCATTCATGTTTAAGTAGCTCTGGAGCAGCAGAGCTTTGTTGGATAAATCATTAGCAAATCTACGTTGCCTGGAGATGGAATCCTTCTCTACATTTTTCATTAATTTCAGCCTCTGTTTTCCTTACCAGTTGTGCTCCGGTGTTGTACCTCTCCACGCTTTCAGGGATAAAAGAAGGGGGGAACAGGAGGTCAATGGAATAAACAGTGCAGGTAATTACTTTGATTCGGTCCGGTGCTCGAATAGGTAGAACAGCAAAGAACATTGATTTCAACTGAAGGTACAATGAGTTTGATTGATACAATGTAATCTGATTTAACCACTATCAAAAGGTAGTACCAACACACAGAGTACAAAATTAGTCCTTATATGTCCAGCCCCACTCAAGCTATATGATGTAATGAAAGAAAACCTTAGCATTGTCCCGACGCCGTCTAAATCCATCCGGTGACATCAGCAACCAGGACTGCGCTTCCCAAGGTTCGGTGAGAGCATGTGTTTTCTAGTAATCCAATAGCCAAATATTTCTTGAATCTCTCCAACGCAAAGAACAGGGTGAAAATTATTCTTATTAATGACATAATCAGCAGAGCAGCCATCAAGCAGGTAAATTGTCATGCGCGTCGTGCTAAAATATCCCGATTATCCTTTGTCCCCCAGCTCTCTGCGTTATAGTTGGAACCGCCAGAAAGCCGGTCGGCGCGTCTTCACTTCCCACGTCCCCCCGAGCCGACAGGCAGGTTGCAGTATGAACACCCCGCCCAAGAGAAGTGGGCTTAAACAGCCTTGGTGCTTAGATATGTAAATAGGTCCTATACAATAAAATTGTTTTAATCAAAAATAAAAGGATGAAAAGTATTTGCAAGATTTTTTTTTTCCTCAAAATGGTTCTGTTGTGCATACAGGGTCTGTTTCTGATTTGTTTTTGTTGAAGTTTTTAGTCCTTGCTTTACTCCTTTTGGCAACTGCTTTTGGCTTATCTTACACAGCCTCCATTTACAATGTTCAGACATGCCTCCATTGGTTTGCACGGCATCTGCTTTGTGCCCCGCAAACACAGCGTTCTGCAGAGTAATGCCAAAGGAAAACAATATGTTTTCTTTCCTTTACAAAGTGCTCCCCTCTTCTCACCTCCAAGGCGTGTCTGATGCTTCGCGCTGCTTCCAGATAATACTGTCAAGCAGTCGTTTGTCAAAAAATCCCGAAGGCCATAACTGTCGCTAGAGAGAAAAAGTGTTTTACTGTTCTTTGTGTAGCTCCAACACCAGAACAAAAATAATGATAAAAAACATCTTTCTCAATGTTTTAGCTCTTGAGACGTTGTTCTTGCCCCAACTTTTTTTTATGTCTTTCTAAGTTTTTGTACAAAAAACATAATTACTAATATTTTTTTTTTTGATCCTCTGGTCCAAAGCGTCTGAAAGCTTTTACTATATTTCCTCGGGTATTAACAGGATGTGGTAGGATCCCAGTGTCATTCCAGTAGTGTTTGGCAACACTTGGCCAATGACTGAACTCCTTGTCGGCCTGAACTCTCTGCTGCAGCGCTGCAGATAGCGTTCAGCCTCGGCCGTCAGAGTCCGGCCTGCGCGCTCCGTCCACTGGGCTATACCCGGGTGGTGGAATGTGAGTGTGGGTGTGGATGAGGCAGAGTGTTGTTCTGCCCACTGTTGGGATATGTGTTAAAAGAGTGGAGAGAGGTGAGCCCTCCCAGGGTGCTGGGGATCATGGTTATGGTGTTTGGCGTCATGAGCGGGATGTCGTCTGGCGAGCGCCTCATAGCCAAGGTGTAGTCCGGTGGGCAGGCAGTCCTCAGGACCACATCGTGCGGGTGAAGGGAGTCCCCCACCCCTCTGCAGTCCCTGTCCAGGTCTGAGTGCTGCTTCATCTGCAGAGACATGATCTCTTCCTCCTGAGTGTGAGCCAGGTCATTGGCAGCGCTCCGCTGGGGGCTGCAGCGTCTGTGCACGTCATGCCGCCGTTTGTCCTTTTTATAGTAAAGAGCAGCAAAGGCCAGAATGTTGAGGAAGAGCAGAGAGGCTCCTACAGCGATGGTCACCGAAAGCTCTGTGGAGTAGTCCCGCTGGTCCACCAGGTGGGGCTGGTTGTGGCTGTCCGGGGTCTCGGTGGGGAAGGGAGTTGGATTCGGGCGTTTGGTTGCCAGAACTTTGGTCTTGGGTGTGCGGTTGGTGGCCTCTGGAGGAGGAACCTGCAGGAGGACAGAAGACCTGCAGTCAGTAGATCATCTTTGACTCTCAGCAGAAAAGAATTTCAGATTGGTGGGATATCTATTTATGAAGCATTTTGGTCTTTATAGCATATTCTAATCAAAGTCAGCCCTCATACACGTAACCGTATGCTAAATACCAACATTTAGCGATTTTTCAGTACTATTATGACATTAATCCTAATTTTGGATCAGCCTGACAGCAGTAAAGGATCATGTTATAAAACAGGAAGTAAACTCAGTCTCATAACAGTTTGGGATTTTCTGAAGGGATAACTTGCTGTTTTAATTTTAGCCAAACTCCACATTAGAAATAGTAGAGTAGAAACTTCACTGATACCCAGTCACACTGTAAAAACATCAACTATGAAATGCCTTCATTTCTTCAACCTGCAAATTAGAGGTCATTAAAAGCCAAGAATCCCATTAGATTAAAAACCTTAAAGCTGAGAGCTTCTATTATGTCATTTTAGTGGGAAAATCTGTTCTATTCAGTTTATTTCTATAGCTCCAATTCCCATCATGTCATCTCAGGTCACTTTCCAGTTCACCAGATCATCCAGTCAGATTGATTCAAAGTTTCCTATCTAAGGAAAACCAGCTGATTGCATCGACTCATTGACTCTTCAGCAATCCCTCACACTAAGCATGCTTGTAGCGACAGTGGAGAGGAAACACTCCCTTTGAACAGGAAGAAACCTCCAGCAGAACCAGGCTCAGTGTGAGCGGCCATCTGCTGAGGCCCACTGGGGTTCAAGTCAAATCATTCCCATGATTCAGCTGTTTGGAGATGAACCTTTCAGAAACTGGTAAACAGAACTGGTTTTTTCCCATTGCTTTGTAAAGATACTGGTTTAGTCTTAGAACATTGCTTCATTTCAGTGACCATTATCAACATTTCCTTATGAATGATCTCATACAGTAAGCTGCTATTTGTTATCTTACCACATCTGTTAGGAAATAAAAAGAATTTTTGGAGTAAATCCAAATATAACAAAGTTAAGGACAGTTGCTCAAAACCACCTTTAAGGTTAATCATTGGACCATCTTGGGCTGAAATATCCCCTAATTGTGAAATTGATTATTAGCAGGATTATTTATAAACAGCCCTAATATTTAGAACATTGGGCAAATAAAAAAAAGCTGTTTTAAATCTTTATTAAAAAAAAAAAAAATCTCACGTTTTTATAAAACAATTGCATCAGATTGTCTTCCTGAGGGAAACACTGATGCTGTGTTGTTGCTATGGCTGATAGATGATTATAATTATGTTATAATATCCATTGATATTATCTATTTCCTTATTTGGAGTTGGCATTATTTTCTACATACAGTTTGTCTCCCAGGCTGTTGCTTTGTGCTGCTGTGCATAATGACATTTGTAAACATATTTAAGGGTAGACGCCTCTTCTGCTTGACATTCAATGACGTTATCACTTCTCAATGTCAGACATCAGACATTTGGCAGCGCGATGTGCCGCGATGCTCTTTTATTCCTATATTTGAAATCATCGTCCTTTTTAAGACCCAAGGAAAATAAATAGGAGATAAATGTCAAGTTATAGTTTAAAAGTTTAAATACCTGTTGAAAGATTATTGGTTTCTTTGGAGGGGGGGGGGGGGGGGGCAGCATGTAATAATTTCCTTTTAAAAAAAACTCCAGTTTGACATTCATCCAAACCACTTCATCAGGGTTGGCGAGCAGACTGCAGCTCTTACTGGCCGTGCAGGTTGTACCCATTTAATTTCAGGTTAAGACAGACAGTCATCTGATTTGCTATTCAGAGTTAATACTTTAGACTGTGCTGGAAAATAATGACGCACGCATGATCAGGGAGTACAGGTAAAGGTGCAGAAGCTCCCAGGACCAGATATGCCTGAAAAAGAATCACACACCTCTGGAAAACCCTGCTTTAAATAGCTGAGACAGAGGAGAGGTGTTCAGATATATTACATTATCACAGGCTGTTACATTTCTCCGAATATACAGTAAGTCTGTTAGCAGCAAAAAACTCTTCATACTAACTGGTAGCTACAGTAGCAGCCCTTCAACATTTCCCCACTGTCCTAATGGGTCTTTGGCTGGCCCTTGGCTGATCCTTGGCTGGTCCTTGGCTGGTCCTTGGCTGATCCCTTACATTTCCTTATTTAAACATTTTTAAACATCATTCTTTGTACTAAAATATTCTTTCTGTCATTTTTGTGGACATTAAGATCTAACGAGAAGCGCCATCTCCTGGTCAGACCCTGTAATTCAGTGAAAGGGTGGAGTCAGAGTAAAAAATTATGCACGCCCAGTAGAAGGCGGGGGTCAGTCCAGTGGCTGGAAGTTGGAGGGATTTCACTGGGAGTTGCAGGGAAATGGGCTGCCATTCGGCTAGGATTTGACTGGTAAGGGCCATTTTAAATGGCTGCTATATTACCGTGCTGGGGGGTTATATTACCGAGCTGGGGGGTTATATTACCGTGCTGGGGGGTTATATTTGCAGGAAGAGACCATTTTGTGACAGAGAGGAGGACAAAATTGCTCCATAATACTTTGATGAGAGAAGTGAGACTGATGAGGTCAAAGAGAAAACAACCACTTCAAGTCTTTGCTGTTTAGGATGATTCCAGAATTTGTTTGTTTTTCCTTTTAAACAGTTTAAAGTGAAGAACTTTACATAGAGTTATCCTTTAGTTTAACTGAGCATATTAGGTTTATCCTCACAACTACCTGCTCTATCATTTCTAACCATAATCAACTTCCCTTTATGGCTGTTCTCACATAGCAGCTTTTTAAGTCATGGTTTACTTCTCTCACTGCAGACATCCTCTTTTATTGGAGATCTACATTCTGGCGTATTTGCAGTGCTAACATATTCACAGAGGATGAAGGAGTCTGTGTGGAGGAAGGGTGAGTCATGCATGTAGTAACAGTGTTGTATGAAGGGGACAACTGGACCCAGAGGCCTCCACCTCTGTTTAAATATAGATGGTTTCTCATCCTTCCTCTCCCTCAGACCAGCGTTCTTCCCTGTATGGAATTAGAACCTCCTCATTCCTGATAACTGGCCTGCAGATGACTGTAAACCACCACAGTTTGGCCTGATGATATTGTCCTTCTGTGATGAACCATCCTTCTGGCCAGTGGCAGCCTTTTAACAAACATATA